TTGCGCCCAGCCACGTGGGAAGGTCTGGTTGCCCCCTTCCCAATGAACACACCCCGAGGCCCTCGGAGAACAAGAACTTGCAGCCAGAATTTGGCCTTACACCCTGCTGTCCACCCTGAGCAAAGGGTGTGTGTGTGTGTGTGTGTGTGTGTGTGTGTGTGTGTGTGGCGGGGACTGGAGGGACTGGAGTACCCACTCCGGACCCTTACATGTTGCCCCTTAATTGTGCGCGGCTGGCCTGGCCTCGCCCCCTCTGTGCACTCGGGTTCCACCCCCTCCCCCCAGCCTGGGAAAATGCCCCCAAGTGGCCGGTGCCCACTGCCCTCCCCCCCCCAGGAAACTTCGATGGGAAGGTGGTCCGATGCTCCCCCTTAGTGGGTGCAGGGCGCCGAGCTGCGGGGTGGGTGGAGGGAAGGTCACCGCCCCCCTGATGGCACCTTGCACCCCATCCGTTTGCTCACCCCACAGAGTGCCCAGAGGAAAAACCATGTGTCCATCACACAGAAGGGAGGAGGAAGCCGATGGAATGTTGATATTGAATATTCAAGTGGACGCACAGATCCTTCCAGAAATGCGTGTTTCCATGCCTACCAGGCCCATGAGATAATGCGCATGCTGGTGCCTGGGCCGGGCTGGGCTGTGCAGGTTCAGAGGCGGATTATATAACCCTGTGCATGGGGGTCTCCCAGGCAATGCTGCCCCCGCTGCCTGAAATAATACCCCAAAGACACCGTGTCCCAGGAAGGAAAGCGCAGGTCCTGCTGAAGGAAAGTTACCTGGCTGGGCGCAGCCTCCAGGAGTAACTCTGCGTTTTATTTTATTTTATTTCCCCTTTTTCTTGGCTGGGGATTTGTGGGAAGAGTGGCCCAACAAGTCGTAGCTATTGGGGAAAGATCTAGAGCCTCAAATCAAAAAAAAAAAAAGAAGACAGACAGACCACCGGCCCATGCAAACCCGTTCCTGCCTTTTACAATCCCTTCCTGAGAGCGCGATGCGCACGCACGCACCCGGGTGACTGGTGTCTGGGGAAAGGTTAAACGGCGCCCGGGGCCTGGCTCGGAGAAAACGCACTCTAAAAACACAGACACAGTATTTGGTTTGATCTGTTGCAAAAAAAAAAAAAAAAAAATGTATTTGATTACTTGAGTAAAATTACAGTATCTCTGTTGTTAGTACGTATTAAATGTTAAAGAAATCGGACCCCCCCACCCCTTTCCTTTCAACTTTCCAAGAAAGTGCATGTAACAGTCCAACGGTTCCTTCCAGACCGAACGCAAAATAAACCGACACGAGGCCCGCGCTCTTGACCAAGAAGCAGCCACGTGCTCGCGTGAGGACACATATGTACATTTTAATGAACGTGATAGTTCTCACTGTATTCACAAGAGCATCTACGGTTTCTCCATCGAAGGCTGTTTGAGACGCGATACGTAGCAGCATTGGGAAATTCCAGCACACGTTTGCTATGGTGAAGAGATACCTACAAGGCAAAAAAAATGTTACGTCTCAGCTCCCACTACCAAAACAACACTTGTATTTTCTCTAGAGAATTCGGCGTGCTCCTCATTGTACAGAAACCTACGAACATCGAGGACGACTCAAGTAAAAAGCACAATACAAGAGCAGTTCAGAACGGAAATGGTTAAATCTACAAAAAAAAAAAACCAACAACCAAAAAAAACAAAACAGGTTGAATTTTAGGATAAAAATTTAAAATAAAAAAGGCAAAACAAACAAAAACCCCAAACCAAAAAAAAAAGGAGAAAAAAAAAAAAAAACCCCAAACCTTTCAAAGAACCACACTGTTCAGTCTGTACGTCTTTAGTCCTTTTCCTTAATTCTGTTTTTTCGGAAGATGAGACAATGCGTTTGCTGAGAAAATGCTCCCGCAGGATCAAAGTGTACATGTATATACAGACTTTATTAGAGATCTAATGCATCGCGGGGGCGTGGCGCCCACACCGGATTCGTATTAAACTGGATATAGAAAATAAGTTAATGCCAGATTAAGACCGCCAAGCAGGGCAACTTTGCAATGGCCATAAATGTTACAGCAAGTTTACAGCACTCTAGTCAATTAGTATGTAGTCCCAAATACAGAAGACCAAAGTTAACGCTTGCATTCTGTCTGCAGAGCCAGGTTATATCACTAATAAATAAGCTTTCTGAGAACTCTAGAAGTGGAACAAGGTACAAAAGAATGTCTTCGTCACGGGGAAGTAGTTCAGCGGTCTGGGGGCGGGGGGGACCCGAGAGAGAGAGGGGGGGGCCAGGGGGCGAGGAGGAGGCGTGAGCAGGCAGGCTGGGGCCTCCAGCCGGCCGGCGGCGGCGCTTTAACTGGTGACGATCTCCTTGCTGTCCTCCAGGAAGCGGGTGAGGCGGAAGCTGGCGGCGGCGTTCTCACTGCTGGCCATCTTCTCCAGGCCGGCCAGGGGCGCGCTGGGCTCGGAGCTGGGGAGCTTCTCCAGGTTGCCCGTCAGCCCGCTGATGGGCGAGCTGCTCCCGCTGCCCAGGCTGCCGGGGACGGGAGGGACGCCGCCGTTCTGGATGACGGAGATCTCGTTGGCCTTCATGGCCAGCCCGTTGGAGAGCGCCGCCGCGTACTGGTTCCAGAAACTGGACGGATCGCCGCTGCCCGACCGGGCTGCCAGGTCCTTCTGGAACATGTCGGGGAACTTGACGGGATTGCCTCCGAGGAACGCCATGGGGCCGTCCACGGAGAGCCGCCGGCCCCGCCGCGCGGGCGTGCTGTTCCACATGTGGGTGCCCATGTGGACCTGCAAGGAGAGAGCGAGAGGGAAAAGAAAAAAGAGAGAAAGGAAGGGAGACGCTTAGTAGCTGAATCGGTTGCCACTCCCATCACAGCAAACACTCAGCAAAGCCAGCGGCCGAGATGTCCGTTCTTATTACGTGCCAGACAGGGGACGAGGTAGCGGGACCGCCCACTCCGAAGACCGGTAATAACCCGTCCGCTCCCTGCAGCCGGGGCCGCCTCTCCTGTTCCCCGGGCAAACGTGCCTTCCTTACTCCGTGTTTATTGCCCCTATTTCGTTTATAATGGCCTCCCGCGAGCCAGGCGGTCACGGATAGCGCCGACCGGGGTGAGAATTGTTATGTCCACTCTCATTGCAACGGTCAGGATTGTATCTGACACCCTTTCCCCTAGAAACGTCCTTTTCAGAGGGGAAGAGAGTAGCCCTCGCTGACGGAGGGCCCCGTGCACAGAGAGAAAACGCCAGAAAGTCATTATTCCTCCCGCACGGCTGGCAGCCATCTCCAGGGACATCCTCTGTCAACAGGAAACTGTCACAGGGAGCGTGTTCAACTGTTGCTCTAGATTCATGTAAGCATATCTGCCTGATGGCCAACACCTATCAGTAGGAAGTGTTGCCTCATCGATTATCATAATGCCCGCGAGCAGAGGGCTGACGCCGCCGCGCCTGGAAAAACAAACCGCGCGGGCCTGCACGGTTATGAGCAGGAGATGCACGGGCCGCGGAGAGCTGCAATTATTAAGCGATCGGCGCAGCCCACAGGCCCGGTGGAGGCTTTAATCAATACCCCATGGCAACCGGGCTGTCTTCCCCGGTAGGTGAAGCCATTCATTTGGTGCACTTAACGAGACAAGGGAGGCGGGCCGCCGTTTCGCTCAGGTACCAAACGATTCGATGCACGCCGACCCTCCGCCAGCTGCAGCCCCGGCCTGGTCCCTGCCACGAGCCCCACCCGCACAGCCACCACTTCCCCACATAAGCCGCCACGTGCATGCAGCGGGCTCCCCGGAGGGCGGGCCCTGTCCCCCCCCCGGGGGTCTGGGCTGCTGACCCAGGGAGCATGCATTACAGACATCGACGGGCCACCCGAGAGAGGCCCGAGGGGTGGCCGGGGGAGCTGCCGGCGGGCGGAGGTACCTTCAGATTGCCTTTTGTGGTGAACGCTCTTCCGCAGATAGTACACGCGAAGGGCTTCTCCCCGGTGTGAGTCCGCTCGTGGATCTGCAGGGCGCTGGACGAGGAGAAGGTCTTGCCACACGTGTTGCAGTAGTGTTGCTTGGGAGTTCTCCTGGGCAGGGCCGGCAGCAGCACCGGGGACGTGGCGGAGGGCCCGGGGGGGACGTGGCCGGCGGGGGGGTCCTTACTGTCCTGAGGAGGGACGTGCACGAAGCCGTTGACCTCGGTTTTGATGAGCGACGACAAGGGGTTGGCGGGGGGCATGGCCGCCGGGCTCTGGCCGGGGCCGAGGTTGGAGCTGGGCTCGAAGAGCTGGGAGGGGAGGTCGCGCATCTGGTGGGTCAGCATGTGCTGCTTCAGGTTGCCCTTGGTGGAGAAGCCGCGACTGCAGACTGTGCAAATGAAGGGTCTCTCTTTGGTATGACTCCGGTAGTGAATGTCCAAGGCACTCTGACAAGCAAACGTTTTGCCGCAAATGTCGCAAGCCGTGTTCTTAAACTTCCCCCGGTCCCTGAACGGGAAGAGGAACCCCAGGGAATCTTCCTTGATGATTTTCTCCGCGTGGCTCGAGGTCAAGTCCAGGGCCCCGCCGTTCACGGGGGCGGGAGACAGGCCGTTGGCGAACTCGCCCGGGCCCGCCCTCGGGGGCTTCTCGTCGGCGCCGGGCGACTTGTGGGAGTCCTGGGCGCCGCTGGACGGGGACAGAGCCTGCATGGACGAGGTGGACTCGGACATGGCCGGGCTGCCCGCGCTCTGGCTCTCCACGTCGCCCCCCACGGAGGACGAGTCGTTGGTCAGGACGTCCCCCTCGACCGACCCGTTCTCCATGGCCTTGAGGCTGGCCTGCAGCTGCTCGGCCAGGCCGGCGTTGATCATCTTCATCTGGTGCTCCAGGGCCGCGATGCTGGACACCTCCAGGGGCAGCGGCGAGGACGACAGGCTGTCCTGGGAGGCGTCCGCCGACCTGGGCGTGTCGGGGATGCTGCCCTCGGGACAGTCGTCCATGTTTTCGTCGGAGAAGTTGTCTACGTCGTCGAAGTTCTTCTCGTCGAAGGAGCCGGTGTCGGAGCCCATGGACTCGGGGTAGCCGTCGGGCACGGGCGTGTTGGGGATCTGGCCGCCCATGTGCATGCGGATGTGCTGCTGCAGGACCACGGCGTTGGTGAACTTCTTCTGGCAGATGGGGCAGGAGTGCTGCACGCGCAGCGGGGGCATGGCGCGGTGCACGCTGTAGTGGGTCTTGAGGTTGCCCTTGGTGGTGAAGGCGCGCCCGCAGACCTTGCACTTGAAGGGCCGCTCCCCGGTGTGCGTGCGGTAGTGCATCTTCAGCGCGCTCTGGCAGCTCAGCACCCGGTGGCAGATGACACACTCGTTGGGGTCCGCGGCCTTCTTGTCGATGTTCTCCACCAGCTGCTGCAGCTTGGACGTCTCCGAGGCCTGCGTGGAGTCCAAGAGGCCCCCGAACGGGAACTTGGCCTTGAACTGCTCGGACATGAGCGGCAGCAGAGGGTTGGTGAAGGCGGCGGCGGCACCGGGAGGGCCGTTGTCGGCAGCCGCCGTCGGGGAGCTCAGGGCGCCGCTGCCCGCCGCTGGGGCGGAGCCGGCGACCACGCCGCTCTCTTCGCTTTTGCCACCGGAGGGTGGCACCGTGGACCCCTCGGCTTCCTCCCCCGGGAGCCCACCCGGGTTTCTCGGGGCGGGCTCGGGGGCCCCGGAGTCGCTTTTGACAGAGCCCGGGGGGCTGGCGGAGGAGCGGCTGATGGGGATGGGGGCCGGCTCCTCGGTCTTGATGAAGGGGGTGAGGCTGGGCAGGGTGGGGGGCAGCGGCAGGCCCACCGACGTGGTGAGGGTGGGCAGGACGGGCTTGGTGTCCAGCCAGCTGGTGACGGGCTTCTCGGGGGGGATGGACATGCCGTAGGGGATGCCGGTGCTGGTGGGGATGTTGTCCAGGTGCTCGGGCACGGGGTAGGGGTTCATCTGGATGTGGGGGTACTTCTCCTTGTGGCGCTGGAAGTGCACCTTGAGGTTGCCCTTGGTGGAGAACCTGTTCCCGCAGATGTTGCACTTGAAGGGACGCTCGCCCGTGTGGGAGCGCAGGTGGATCTGCAGGGCGCTGTCGCTGCCGAAGACCTTGGCGCAGAACCTGCACTTGTGCTTGAAGAACGCCTCGTCCGACGCGCTCTTGGCCTCGAAGGCCGCGACGGTGGGCGGCTTGCTCTTCCGCTGCTGGGCCAAGGCTGACAAGGGGTTCAGGTCCTCGGCGGTCGTGCCCACGCTGGGCAAAGGGCTGGGGAACACCGCGCTGGCGGGGGCCGGCTGAGGTAGAAGTGGGTTGGACGCGGGGCTGAGCAAGCTGCTTATTGCGAAAGCTGGTGAGGAGGCCGCCGCCGAGACCACGGCGGGGCTGCCGGCCTGGGAGGCGCCGGCGCCCGGAGCCGCCCGGTCCGAGGACGGGGTGGTCACCGCCGTGGCCAAGATGCTCACGTGGGGAGAAGCGCCGCCGTGGGGGGGGACGATGGTGTGGCCAGAGCCGCTCTGAGGTAGCTGGGCCGGGGGCAGCTGCTTCAGGCCGCCGATGCTGGCCGACTGGCTGGCCAGGCTCTGGGCTAACCCGGCGGCGGCCGCCAGCTGCTGAGACAAATGGGAGCTCAGCGTGGACAAGGGGTTGGCAGATGTTCGCAAAGGACCTTGGGAGGGACTCGACGCGGGCAGGTCGGCGTTCTGCGAGGCCAGCAGCAGGATCTGGTGGCGGATCTGCTCGATCAGCTGCAGCTGGTGGATCTGCTGCTGCTGCAGCGCCAGGAGCTGCTCCATGAGGGCGGGCACGGCCGGCTTGCCCCCCGCCGCGCCCCCGCCCCGCGCCTCCTGGGAGAACTGGGCCACGGCCACCTTGGTGCTCTGCAGGTTCTCGATGATGACGTTGCTGTTGATGACGGAGAAGCCGCCCAGCGCCGCCAGGTCCCCGGGTTGAGGTAGAGAGGTTGTGATCGCTGAGGTACCCGTGGAGGAGCCGCCGGAGCCGCCGGGGCTGGCGCCGGTGTGGCCGCTGCCACCGGCTGGGCCGCCGCCACCCTTGTCGGCCCCCGGGGCCTCCACCTCCATGGACCCGTCCCCGTCCGGCCCGCGGGGTTCCGGGAGCTCGCCGCCGTCCCCTCGATCGGCTTTGCTAGGCGTGTCATTCACGTGCTCCCCGGGGTTCTCGGGAGGGGGGCTGGGGGAGAAGGTGTCGGGTGGGGAGGCGGGGCTCTCCGTGACGATTAACACGAGTTGGTTCTGGGAGCAGCTCTTCTTGTGGAGCAGGAGGTCCGACAGCTCGAAGAACTCGGCGCAGCACCGGCCGCACACGTGGGCGTCCTTGCTCTTGGCGGGGCGATGGGGCTGTCCCTTCTCCGCGTGCCCTGCCAACATCAAGAGGAGCAGCGTTAGGAAGGAAGCCGGGGCACCGTCCCCCGTGACCTCAAACCCCAGACAGAGGTGGCCGGTCCACCGCGGGCTACCTGCGGAGCTCGAGACCGTGGCCCCTGGAAAAAAACCCAGCCACCAGGACCTACGGACGTCCGTGCGACGTGGTAAGGATGCTGGAGGCGTCCCTATCCATGTGGTACCTCCGAGAGCCACGGCCTTCAGATAATCCATCAAAATGTAAGCTACGATGCACCGAAGACAGGGTGCCTGACGCTGTTCCATAGCGACACATCGATCTCCAATACTTCATACGCCGCACCGTCCACTCACCCAGAGAGGGCCCCGCGGCCGCTCAGAGGAGGACTTATTAGGCCCCGGCGCTCCTGTCAACCTTATTCCCTTTCACCCGGTGCCAGGATACCTGTGACAGTTGGTTCTGTCACTAAACTCATTTGTAGCCATTCGGGCTCCAATCAGCGGTTGACAAGGAGACAAGCAATGCATAGCACCCACCCGCCGCCGACTGACAACCTGGACATCGCCTGCCCGCCCCCGCCCAGAGCCCCAGCTCAGCCAGATCCGTGACACACACACTGTGGTCGCACCCACAACCGGATACAAAAGAGAAAGCAAAACACACTCACACACACACACACACACACACACAACGAAGAGAAGCACCATGACCGTAACCCGCGACCAGGCCCGCCTGGCATCGGTGTGTCACCCCGTGGCACGTTTTGTTTTAAAATTAAAGCAAGGACTATCCATCATGGGGCTCCACGGGGCCACCTGGTGCCTCTAAAATATTTCACCCAAAGGGCTCTTCCTATCTCTCAAGCTGGTGGAGATTTACATTTCTGATTAAACATCAACTTCAAGAAAAGATGTGCCCTGAAGGGGGGCGGGGAGAAACAATTCCTGGTTTTTAAGAGTTTGGAAACACTTCGCCTCTCTCCTGGCCTGAATGCCTTGAGAAAACACACACACACACACACACACACACACACCAACCCAGTTTGTGCTTCACTGTTACCAATTGTTGAACAGATTGTCCCGGACCTTTCGGTATCAAAAAAATCCCCTTTATTTCATGTCTGTTTCCACCGGTTGCTCAGATTTCTTCTCACCCAGATCCATTTGTAAATTCAACATAAAACTCTCCAAACGGCAAGCTTCTCTCCTATTCACAGGCAGGCCGGCTCCCATTGTTTCCCGTCTCAGGGAACACCAACTTCTGCTGTACAAATGGTGTGTGGCCATCCCCGGGGGCTGGGGGAAAAACTGTTTAATTCAAGGATTACCTCCCTGCATGCTTTTCTGCCGAACGGAGTCAGATAATAGTCAGTTTCCATGACTTCCAAATTGAATCTCTCAGAAAACTTGCAGGGGCCGAGAGAGAGAGAGAGAGAGAGAGAGAGAGAGAGAGAGAGAGAGAGAGAGGCTAATTGTGAATCTGAATAAATGCAAAATCAAAATGCTGCTTTTTCAGGAAACTTAAAAGAGTCAACTCCAAAGAGCCAGCCGTTTGCCTTTTTTTTGTAGTGAACATCCAAAAAAAAAAAAAGGCTCAAGCTGTCGGGCATTCCAGAAAATATAATTAATACCTAAATACTAACTACACTTCGAAAATGCCTCGAGTCTGTTTGCCCTCCGCGCTGCGGAGCTGGTCAGCAGCCCTGCTCAGGAAGCAGAATGTGTGTGTGCGCACTTTCTTCCCCGCGAGTGTTATTTGAGGAGCTAAGTTACACTTAACACGCTGGCTTTCCTAATTCCCATCTTTTAATCTCCACGAGGGCAGGGTGCAAAACGCATTCACAATACCCAGCAAATCTCAGTGGCGCAGGGAACACCAATAACGACTCTGTTTTAATTTAATGTCTAATCATCCTAAATTGGCCCCTGGATTCCTGTGCACATTCGAGGTGCCGTTTTAAGCAGTTTCTGTCTGTCTCTCTCTCTTCCCCTCCCTGCCTTAAAATAATGTAAACAAGATACTAAACGAATTTTTGCTCAAGTTATGTGGCTTAACTTGGGACAAAAATAATGTGACAAAAAGATCCTTTGTATTTTGACAACCAGTTTTAAATGATGCATCCATTTCGGATGCTTATTTCAAACGAGGAAATGCAGTTCCTAATATATTCAACAGAAATGTTATTTCCTCCTCTTTGCACATTTCCATATGTAATGGTTATGTTTCCATCTACTTTTACAGCCAATTATGAAGGAACAAAAGCTATTCTGTTTGTTCACACATTTTCAACAAAATGCATTAAAACTATTATGTCAGCATGTTCTATTAAGCTCTGCATTCAGTGGAAAATACTTTTCAACCAGCTCACATTTATCAAAACATAAAGCCACTTTAAAACACAGTTTTGCTTGGTCAGCTGGGCTTAGGCAAATAATGACAGATTCAGAACTAAATAACTAGCCAGGGAAATCAGAAAACTGACTTCACCAATTGTACACATTACAATGTCGTTGCTTCAAATATTTAGCACATCTGTGCTCACGACGAAAGGGCATTTTAATTCTCTGTAACTCGCAAACATCTGATATTCTCATACTATCGAGAGAAAATAAAAAGAAGGTACTTTACAGGACTTAGCCGGTGATTACTTGCTTTCCTGGGCTCAAGTTCTACGTTGGCGCTGCTGTGAGATTCACTTGAGAATTTTCAAGTTTCTCAACCTGAACAGTTTTATATTTAAGATGGTGCTAAACTGCACGGAAAACAGAGCTGCTTAAAATAAATGCCTGCTGGCTTGTAAGAAAGGGGCTGTGTTAAAAAGAGCTGCTCAGACTTTAGCTTCGATTTTCGCAACATTTTAATAAGTTGACATTTGATCTCACTTGGAGAGGCAACTAATTTAATTTCCTGATGTTTCTGAACACCAAAAAAAAAAAACCCCCCACAACAACCCAAAAAAACAATTTCTGGTATCTATTTTGCTTTATTTCAAAAGCAGGTGTCGCTACACTGTAATAGTTCTTAACTTTAAATCTATCTGCATTCTGAACACAATTCCAATGAAACAGCTTTAAAAAAAAAAAGGATAAAACACCAGGACTAGCTTTCAAGTCAAAATAAGATGCGCACACACACACACACACACTAACACGTTCTAATTCATTTTCCCAACTGTCTACTACCTTCTATCTCTGAATAATCTGTGACAGGATTCCAACTGGTGACCCCATTAGAGTAAATACAGTTGCCTTGTTCCCTGTGCTGTGGTGAAAATGACATGCCGGCCCCTTTGCTATGGATTTTGCATGCAAATTAATCTAATTTTGTAATCCTGGTCAGACGGGAAGATTTAAGGAGAAGTGTTTTTTTTAAGTATTGACACACAAAAAGATATTTGGAATTTCTGGTATTTTTGGGGGGTGGTGGGTTGGGGTGGTGGGGAGGAGAGGAAGGGTGAACTTACAGCTCCATCCAATTTCTACTAAAATCCCAAATGTTTTTTCTTGTTACACTACTTAGGGACTTGGTGCCCAATTCAAATTTGTCAGTTTTCCCTCATCGGAGCCAAACACTGCAGAACAGCAGGCAGAAAACCGAGGTGTCCCAGGATCTCTACCGAGAAAACAAAAATAAAACTATGCCCCACACAGAAAGGGCTAGCCAACCAAGGGAAAAACAGAACAAAACAAAAAACAAAACCCAAACCAAAACAACACAGCATTCGGCCAGGCGTGGTTTTCTTCTGGGAGCCCCTCGGAAAGCGCCTCCCCTGCCTTCCCCTGACCTTCAGGCCACGTTCCCATTTTTAACAGACCCTCTCGTGACCGTGATTGGGGAGCCTAGAATTCTAACAGGCTCTTCCTTTTCCGTGGGCCAATCACAGACATTTTTGATTGATTGGTCTTTTTCTTCTTTTTTTTTAATTGTTGGCACAGACCTGGGAAAGGCCTGAATGTCCAGCTTAAAATTCCCCAGAAACCGTAAACACCAGCACATAGGCTGTGAGTATTTTCGGCCCCGTCTGAAGTTTCCTCTCTGTGACGCGAGACCAAAGACACACGTTTCCTGGCACCTTCCAAATTTCCTGGGTGTTCTGCCCCGGACCGGTGTCGTCTTGCGTGGAAGAATACAAGTGAAATCTTGGGGCGTGGAGGGGGGGGGGGAGGGAAGCAACAAGATGCTCCTTTTAAAAATTGGGATCCGAGCCCACGAGAGGAACCGGGAGTGGAAAGGGGGGAAATGCCGTCCCCGTGGCTGAATCAAACTGAACACTAGATGGGGTTCCAGTTGCGAGGGTTTGTTCAGCAACTTCTTTGTGGCTTAGCTCTTCCAGTGACGCGGAAAAGAGAGACTCCTTAAGGCGAGATCTAAACTTTGGCTGCGTCAACATTGGCGGAGGCACCAGAAACTAAATCCCTCTTGTGTGAGGGCAAAAAACAGAGCGATGGGAACTGCCTGTCAATCTTCCCCTTTGGGGGTCTGGCATCCGAGGGCAGCCGGGGGAAGGAGGTTAGGAAAAGAAGCCAAGCTGATAAGGTGAAACTAAAATAAACGACCCACTTCCTGCTAAGGGACCAGCGAGGCTCAATTTGGGGGTCACTGGGACGATCCTGAAGGACATATTATGGTCTGGACCTCGTCACCTCTGCCTGGGAGGGGGCTGGCAAAGGTTAAAACAGCCCCGACAGGTCTAGGTTTTCTCAAGCCTGGCCCGCAAAGGCGGTCCTGCTGTGGGGGGGGAGGGGGGTGTGGTAGGGGAATGGACCACCTCCTTGCTTGCTAACCTGCTCAATTGCTTCAGTTTGGGCGCTCTGAGAAGACGCCCCGGAGAAGTGGCCAGCTAGCTGCTCCAGGGGATGCCTTAGAAAACCCGAGTCAGGAACTGCAGGAGGAGTTTGGTTCTGGCTACGACATAGAGCTTGGCTTCTAACAATTCCAAAAAAACGGAGGGGATGACTCATCTACCAATTTCTTCCCCAGGTTCCCAGGAAGGTTTCCACATTAAAAAAAAAAAAACCCACACAAAACAAAAACAAAAAAACAAACAAACAAAAAACCACAGGTAGGTGTCTGCCTTCGAAAGGACTGTTGGTGCAGACATGGGAAGAAATGGAATGAAGTCCCCCCAAGCACGACCCATCAACTGGCCTATAAACTATAGGAGGAGCTGGATGTGAAATAAACCCCCCAAAACATTCAGCATCACAAAACTCACTGTCACACACACCGGCTCTCAGGCCTTGCTCTCAGGCCTTGGCCCGTGTGTTTGTCTTTAACATTTTAGGGAGTCTGTGCCAGCCCCCCCCCCCCCGAAGCCAATCCCCCCCCCAAACAGTTTGCATTTCCTCACCCAGCATCTCCCATTATGCGACCAACTTAAAAACAGGCCCGATGAGACATAAATTCTTTGGCAACTGCCTTATCTTGCAGGTGTTGGTTTGTTTTTTTTGTGTGTGTTTTTTTTAAAACCACACCAATTCATTACGGCTCTCTCTAACCTTCTGGGCCCAGAAATCAATGAGCAGCCATTAAGCTGCTCAGGATGAGGAAATTACTTTGGCAAATAATAGAATTTCATTATTAATACAAATAGGAGGATTTTTATGCGACTTCACATGACAGTCAATGTTTTATCTGCGGTTCATGATGCTTTTTATCTTTCTTCCAGTGTTATCTCTTCCTTGGGAAAAAAAGCAAAAAAACCCCTCTGAACACCAAAATTCTTTCTCACTAAATGAATGGAGTATGAATGGGCCGTCCACGTAGTTACAGGGATCTTAAAAACACCACCCACGGAAGAAAAGCCTCACACACACACACACACACACACACAGACACGCGGAATCCACATTTCTGGTAAAAAACCCACATAGGAGAAAATTAGATTCCAATACTCCCTTTCCTCGGAATAACTAACTGATCTCGGTAAATACTTTCCCCAACGCAGTCCTCTTCCTACATGCAACTCAAGACTTGTTGAATATCACCTCCGACACAAATCATATTCGCCATCGTCTTGGTTGCGGAAGACACAGAAAAACGCCCAGGTTTCTCTGAGGGTGCTCCTGGTCCCTCCGCCTCGCGGAAGTAGAATTAAAATGTGAACGCTGTGAGATTGACCAAAATAATCTTGTTTTCCTGAACTTGTTCCAATGAAGTTATCCGTGTGGCTGTCCAGCGTGGCTCGGGGTTTCTTTGTATGCGCGCGCGCACGCACACACACACAGACACGCAAACACATACATGCATGGCACACAGCACCGGCCCAGGCTGCCCCACAGCCTGGGGAGTCGCTTGGCTACTGGAAGTGGGGTCCACAAACTTTTGTAGGTGCCGCTCTAGGCAGAAGTCCTCAAAGTGGAAGGGGCCGACAGGGGACCAGAGCACGGGCTAGTTTTAAATGTGGGATGCGCCTTCCGTATTCCATGTGGCGTCGTGGGAGACCATTTCAAGATAGAAGAAAAAGGAACCCCGTTATCTGAGGGAGGGTTTGCCTTCTAAAAATGTAACGACCTTTTATTTAAAAAAACAAAACAAAACAGCAACACAAAGAACCAACTGGAGTCCTTACACAGAAAACCCCCAACAAGTGCTTGAAGGGTGTGTGATGTGTGTGTGTGTGTGTGTGTGTGTGTGTGTGTGTGTGTGTGTGTTGTGTGTGTGTGGGGTGGGGCTGGGGGGGTGCATCGAGATGGCTACTCCTCTGAGGCCACGGTGGTGGCTTTTTGAAGGTAACTCTGAGATGTGTCACAAACTCCTGGCGAGGGCTCCCCAATGAGAAGACGCGGCCTGTGCATGGCCCTCCCGTAAGTCAGACCTGGAGGAGGATTAGCTGTGTACTAATATTATTACAACACACTAAATCCTGTAACCCTCTTACAGAACCTACCCTCTGGGCAGCTTCTCCCCAACTTATTGTTCAGCCATGTGAGAACAGTCATCACCTAAAACCATTTACTGCCCAGGAGAAAGGGGGTGGGCAGAGGCGAGAAAGGGCCCCTCCGTTTACAGCTTCTTGGGACAATGAAGCAGCTTTGGGGGATAAAAAGAGAAAAGGAGAAAAAAAGAAAGAAAAGAAAAGGAAGGAAGAAAAAAGAAAAGGAAGGAAGGAAGAAAAGAGAGAAAAAAGAAAAGGAAACTTGATTCAGTTACTTAATTAACTTACCTCTCAGCTCAAATAAACTAAAAAAAAAAGTCCTAATAAATAATAATGGGAAGAGGTAGTGAACCCCTTTTATGCCGTGGCTTTATGGGAAGCCTTCACTATTAAAAATTCAGGATTTCGAAAGGCAGCCGCCAGGCTAGCCCGGTTCTCCCCAAAGCCCGAGTGTAATTTCTTTTTATTTTTCTGGAAAATGTAGAAAACCTATACAGATTTACAAAAAAACAAAAAGACTAAAAACTCCCCCTTCTCCTCCGGTTGGCCTGCTGTTGCCTCTACACGTTGTCAACTGTTAACACAGCAGGACAGCGGGGCGGGCGGACGGTCTCCCCAGAAACTTTAGGAAAGAGGAGTGTGGGGCGAGGACAGACAAACCAGCTGAGAAAACCAGGGAAAATATTCGCAGCAGCAGCAGCTGCGGCCTGGGGTCGCTTCACCTCCAATGACCCCCCAAGACCCGGCTTCCCCGGGGGTGGAAAGCGGGGTTCGGGGACCCTTCTCGGGGGACTGAGGAACCCCAGAGACTCTGGGTAAGGTTTGCCGCTGGAGGAAATACTGGGGTCGGGGGACGAATATAGCAAATCATTTTCTTGATCGGCCTCAATGCTCCCCGGTTTCTTACAGGCCCCCCCACGCCAGGGGTGCTGGGTCCCGACTGCCAGGTGGGGTGCAGGCAGCGGGAGTCCCCCAGCCTCTCGGCCTCCCGGCGCGGGTCCCTGCGCCCCGGCCCTCCCGAGGAGCAGGCCTCTGGGGACGGACCCGGAGCCCGGGGCCCGGGCGGCCCAGAGTGTCGGGGACAGAGGTGCGATCGCAGGGCAGCTTCGGAGCCCCGTGGGGGTCAAGCTCCCGCCCGCACACCCCCAAATGCCCCCCGGACGTGAGCATCCCGCCAGACGCCCGGTTCGCCCCGGAGCGACCCCTCGTCCGTCCCCGGCGGCGCGCCCGGAGCTGAGCCGGCGCCGCTCCATCGCCTCGGGCGCGCGGCCTGGGAGCTGCGAGGCCCCGAAAGCGAAACACCTCCAGGGACGGGAAGCGACTCGGGGTGTCCTCCGTGCGTCCCCCCAGGGGCCTGCCCGATCGCGCCCCTCCGGGCTTCGGCTCCCGGACACAAACTTCGTCCGGGACTTGTCCTCCCCGCCGGCGCCCGCAGCGGCCGCCTCCATGCGGGAAGGCGAAGGCGGCGGCTCCCGGGGCCAGCGGAGACCTCGCGGCTCCTGGAAGGACGGGGACCGGCGTGCTCGGGGGGCGCGCACCGAGTGGGGGTGCATGTGCGGGAGGGAAATGCGGGAATCCACGGGGGCAGCCGGACCCTGTCCCCTGGCCGCCCGCACTGTCCCGGGAGCGACCGGCAGCTCAGCGCCTCTTCGCCCCGCCGCGACCCGAGCGAGTCCGGCGCGGGCGCCCCGACACAGCACCCCATCTTCTAGCAGCTCTGAGCCCCCAAAGGCACCCCAGGAGGCGGCGCAGGCCCAGGTGGGGCGTGAGGGGTGGCGCGGGAGCTCCCAGCTCGGAGTTCAGCGCGGAGCACGAGTCAACTTTCTTCCCGCCGGCAGCAGGGCCCGGCGGCGGAGGCCTGGCCGGGGCCCCCGGGCGCCCCGCGGGGAGCGCAGGAGCCCCGCACGGCCGGCGCGGAGGGCCTCTGGCCGCCCTCGCGTCCCGCCGGACCCCGGCCGCGGACAGGCGGGTCCCGGCTCCGCTCCCCGGAAAAGCCGGGACGGAGGAGCCAGGCCGGCGCGCTCCCTCCTCCCCCGCCAGGACCCAGCAACTCCGGAAAGATCCCGCCGGGAGCAGTGTTTGCATTCCCCGGGGCGGCGGGAAGCCCGGCGACGGCAAATTGAAAATTAAAAAGAAAAGAGAAAACGCGCCGAGTCGCCCGGGAGAGCGGGGCCGCGGCGGCGGCGGCGGCGGCGATGGGTGCGGGGCCCCGCCGCGTGTGCGTGGGCCCGGGTGTGCGTGAGTGTGAGTGAGTGCGTGTGTGCGCGCGTGTGTCCACGGCGCGGGCCGGAGCACTCACCATCTCGCCGGGGGAGCGAGGCCACTTCGGGGTCGGATTGGAAATGTTGAGGCTTCGCTTGCTTCCTCCGCGACATGCTGGCTCAAACATCAGCTGGGGCAGAATAAAAAATTACTAAAAAAAAATCTTCTCAAAATTACGGAAATCGAGCGGCGGCGGCGGCGGCGGCTCCCCCCGCCCGCCGGCCCGCCCGCCCCCTCCCCGGCTCCCCGGCCGCGGGCGCAGCGCGCATGTGTCCTGCTATAATTATGATTATCAATAATGCATTGCGATTAATCATAGAGGGGCTCTTTGAAAGGCGATTGGCACCGGGCCAGCGCTATTCAAACCCGCTCGCCTTAATCAATTAGTTCGTGATTTGCTGCAGACCCCTGTCTCTCCGCGCGCTGGCCCAATAAGCCGGCCGCGGGGCTGGCTCTGCGCGCCGCGCCGCCGACACTCGGTTAACCCTCTTCGCGACCGCCGGGGACTCCGCGGCCCGGCCGCCGGGGGCCGGCCTCCTCGCCTCGCCTCTGCGCCCCGGGCGCCCGGGCCCGCGGCCCCCTCCCTCCCCCGCCCCTCCCCGCCCCCCCATCCCCGGCTGGGCCGACCCAAATTAGCATGCCCTCCCCGGAATGAAGCCTCCCGGGCGGGGGTGGGGCCGGGCGGCGGGGGCTGGGGACCCGGCTGCGGGCGCGCGAACTTCCCAACTCCGGCGCTAGGCGTGCCGGCTCGCGGGGGGAGGGAGTCCCGTGGCGGGATGGGTGGGGGGGAGGAAGTCCCGTTTCGTGAGCGTTTCTTCGTTTCTTTAAGAGCTACCAGCAAGCAGCCCACCCCCACACCCATAAAAAAAAATAAGCGAGTGGGGAAGAGCCAGCCCCACGCCGGTCCGCCTCCCGCCCGCGGCCCAGCCTCCCGCCCGCTCGCCGCCTCGCTCAGCGCTCCTTCGCCCCGAGTTCTCCAGCCCCTGGATCCCGGGCTCGCGGGGGTGCGCAGAAGAGGACCCAGGAAAGGTTTGGGAACGTGATGGGTTTGGGGGCTGGGGGGAGGGGCAGCTCTCCCGGCACCCCGATTCTCCTCCGAGGGCCCCGATCCTCCAGCCTCTCGCTTGCTCCCTCGGTCCCCTTCTCTACCTCGGACATTCCCAGGACAATTAGGGCTGAAGTTTTCGGGAGCAGCAGCCCCGAGCCCGTGGGATAAGGGGCGGCCCGGCTCCGCCCAGGAACCCTCCCGACCTCACCCCCCCCTCGCCTGCCCCGGTTGGCTACAGGGCGCGTCACTCCGCGGGGAGGCGGCGGCGGCGGTGGCGCCGCCGAGCCCGGGGCGGGCGGAGAGCTGGGACCGGCCTGGGATCCGAGTTCAGCTCCAGCCGGGGGGGAGGGGAGGGGCCGCCGCTTACCCTCCACGCGGCTACCCGCCCCCGGCCGAGGGAGGCGCGGCCCAGACCGGTCCCCAGGACCCCTGGGCCCTCCGCCCGGGGGGAGGGGGCCGCACCCCAGGCTCCTGGCGACGAGGTGGCCGCGCGGAGTCGGGAGTGAGTGAGGCGGGGGAGGGTCCCTGTCCGCAGCTGTCTGGCCCCGAGGAAGCTCGCCTGCACCTCGGGCACTTGCCGGGCGCGGCACCCAAACTTTTCCAACGAGCTCCATCTCCCCAGGCGGGGAAGCAGCCTCCCTGCCCGCGCCCCGGAGCCCCGAGTCGGGAGCCCCGGCCCCGCACTCCCTCCGCTGGGCTCGGGCGCCTGCGAACCTGACTCTCCGTCCTCGGCTCAGCCCGGCTCTTCCCCTCGCGCCTCGGGGTCTCCTCGCTCCAGGGCTCCCGCAGTCCTGCGCCCGAAGGACAAACTAAACTTCGGCTGAGTGATGGGGCGGCGGGGGCGGGGGGGGGGGGGTTGCAGATACACAATCCCTACCCTATCTCGCGATCGGGAGAGGAGAGGGCTCATAAGGACGCCCCAATTCTTGAGCGCCCTGGAGTCTGGCTAGCGCCACAGTCGGTTCGTGCGAAGTGGGCACCGATCTTCCGAGTGGGGTTTCGGGTACACCGGACCCTCAGCGCGCTCCCCCAAACGACTCGTTTTCTCTTAGTTTTTTTTTTGGTTTATTATTATTTTTTTAATCTAAATCTTTTGTGTGGTGGTGAATGTTTCTGTTTCCCTCCTGCCGACACCCCCCTCTTTTTTTTTTTTTTTAACTATAACTTCTTTCTCCTTGTTTGCCCTTTCCTCGCCTTTTTCTCTTGTCCCTCTTGTTTGTTCCTCTCCTTCTGCCCTCGCTCGGTCCCTAACACACACACACACACACACACACACACACACACACACACACCCTCCGCCCGCTCTCCCTTTCTCCCCAGGTCCTGTTGGTTCCCATAGATTTTGATAAAAAGACAAACGAAGCTCTCAGCGGGGCTGATGTTGAAGAATGAAGATAATAATGTTTCCATAGGTGGTGCCTCAAATGCCATTATTTCTCACTGAATATTTAAAGAGACCCCTCAGCCAAGATGGATCTCCGCGCTCCTGGGCGGCGAGCGGCTCGCCTACCCCAGACCCCCGGAGAGTGCGCGGAAGCCGGTGACAACCCCGCGCCCGCCCACCCTCCCTGCAAACGGTGGTCGCCCGGAACGCACCAGCCCGCGCGCTCCAGGTGCGACCACGCGTCCTCAGGCCCGTGCACACCGTCTCTCCCACCCAGCCCGCCTCCGGAGCCGCCCGCATCCCTCTCCAGCAATCTTGGCGTCTGGCAAGCCCGGGCCTCGGGGCACCGCGCGCTGCCAGGAACCCAGCGGCGCCGCCGAGCCCGCAAACCTTTCTGTCCCGGACGCGCGGCGCGGCGCGCGCAGCAGGACGCACCCGGGAATGGCTTCCCACGTGCGGGTGACTGGCTCTCTGTGTGATTAAGGAAGGGGGGGGGGGTCTTTCCCTCCCCCGCAAACAAACAACCAAACGAATGCACACGCAACATCAGCTGCGTGACGTTTGATTGGAAGTGGGCGCGCAGAGACCGACCGAGTCGGGTGATGCAAACTTTCGTAACTTTTTTCGTTCTTCCGCGTCCTCCATGGCGCAGAGGCGGGCGCCTGGCTCCGTGCGCGGCTTCTCCCGCTAATTTCTTGTTTGTTTTCCTTCGCTCTATGGCCGGGAGAGAGGAGAGGGGAGCAGGGCGCGGGGGAGGGGGGAGAGAAGGAGGGGGTGGTCAGAATGGCGGGGAGAGGAGAATTGGTCTCTATTGTCGATGGCAATGCATCAATTACGGGCCATTGTCTCGGGCCCAAGTTCCATGGTTCCCCGACTCGGGCGCCGCAGTGTCAGGGCTTGGAGTGCTGCGAGGCCCAGAAATAATTAAATTAATAAAGACGGAGACAGAGTGGGGGTTGGTTTGTACTTTTGAGCGGGGCTGCGAGTGCCAGCGAGGTGCCACCGCTGGAGTCCATGCGGGCGACTTGCCCACCCAACAGAGGAGCGCAGTCCGCAGGGGCCCCCGTGTCCGCTTTGGGTGGAGCAGCTGCTGGGGAGGTTGGGGTGGCGGCGTTTGGACTTGCGGTTCCCAGATCAGAGGGCCTGACACTTAGGGGCGTGGGGGTGCCCAAGGGAGGCTGTGGCCGCCCAGGGTCATGACCTCTGTTGGGCCAACAAGAACCTCACCAGCTCCCAGGGCTGCAAACTCACATGTGGGGGGAGGGGGGGCTTGATACCTGCGTTTCTACCCAATCTGCCCCCTCAGGTTTCCCAAGTCCTAGGGCGTCCTGAGTAGCTTGGCGGGGTGAAGGGCTGTACCCCAAGGCCGCAGGGGTTTCCAGGCCTTCTGGCCTCCCGGGCCCTGGAGAGGGGAGAGATGGTTGAGTCTCCCCTTTTGGAGGCCTGGTTCTCACACCCGCAAACGCATCTTATTCTGGCCCAGCCTGACCCCAGGGTCTGGGATGGAGCCTGGAGTGAGGCCTGCCCTGGGCTCCAGGCGCCCTCCTTCCATGGGCGCTGGTTGGGCACCCGCGTCCCCAAGGAGGCCCTGACGAGCTCTGCCCGCGCCCCAAAGCCCCCCAGCCTCGTTTCCTCGGCCCCCAGCCCCCGGCCCCACTGGGCCCAGCCCAGGAGAAGGGCAGGAGAGGAGGTTTCGTTTTCTGATGCCAGGCCAAGAGCGGCGACGGGGCGCCCTGGGGCGGGGCGGAGGCACCTGGGTGATAACCGAGTTATTGATGGGAAGCTTCACGGTGGAGCCAGAAGATCAGGTTCCCATCCCTCCCCTCCTGGAGGTGGGAGGGCCGGTGGGTGGTGGCGAGTGTGTTGGGATGGGGGGGTCTGCATGCCCCTGCATTAGCCACTCTGGTTTATTTGTGTTTTTCTTGTCTGAAAGTTGGGGGGGGAGAGGGGGGAAAAGGGTTGAGGTGGTTAGTACCCTAGCCCTAGCCCTTAGGACTCTTGCCTAGGGTTGGAGCTGCGGGGGAGGGGGTAGGAAACATGACAGAGAGCAAAGACTAAGATTGGAAAGACCTGGGGAGCCCTTCTTTTCCAAGCCCGGGGACTTCGCTTTCCCGGGAGTTTCAGAAACTCTTTTCTTGGCCAAACTGCTGTCGCTCACATCCTAACCTCTCCTGGGCCGCTGGAAAGGCTTCGAACCGGAGGCCTGGGTAGCAGGCTGGCTGGGTCCAGGGGGTCCCGGCCCCAGCGGGGTCTCTCCCCTGTGCGCCCTGGGCGCGCTGGTTCTTCAGCGGCCAAGTCCCCCGGCGCAAAGGCGCCCTTTCTGGGGACTCGGCCACCTGGAGCTGAGGTTCTGTCTCCAGCTCCGCGCCCGGACAGCGCTGGGACCCCGAGGCCAGGCGCCGGCCCGGGCGGGAATTTCCGCGGTGGCGCGCGGAGGGCGGGCTTGGTGGCCGGCGCTGGCATCCTACCCCAGGGTCCTACCCGAGGGTCCCACCCCGTCTGCCCTCGCGGCAAACTTGGTCCCTCTTTGCAGGGCCATCCCATGTCCGCACTTAGAATCTGAGGACGCTGGCGAGGCCAGTGCCCGCGCCTGAGCTTTTATGCCCTGTCCCCCAGGAGCTGGAATTCACTGGCCCAGCAGGCAGCTGTGCCTCGCCAAGGGTCTGCGCATAAAACTCCTCCCAGAGGAGATGTCCTCGAGGCAGAGAAAGTGGAGAAGACGAATCGAATTTCTAAGAAGAAAACCTTTGCTTCCTTTTGGCTTTCTGAGCGTGGAAACAAAACGCATCATCATCATGCCATAGACCGCCGCTATGTTCTAGGAAGGTGGTCCCTGGGGTGTCCAGGAACCCCGGGGCGCCCCTATTCCCACTTCCCAGCTCAGGAAGTAGGACTTGGGGAATCCAGTTCGCAGTGATTAGCTCTTATCTGCCATTTGCTGGGAAGAGGTGTGAGGTCTGTGGAGCCTGTGGTCTCCCCCCACCCCCGCATTTGGGGGTGTGCCTGGGGGCCTGCCAGGACTCTCATTCTCATTCCTAAAAGATGCCTAGATGAACTAACTTAGCATCTTTCTTGCAGCCAACTTAAAAGAATTATGAAAACACTCCGCTACCTTCTCTAGCAAAACGTCCCCTTTTTAAAGAGCAGATCAAAAATCTCAAAAGAGGCCTGGATCTCGGCTTCATAAAAAGCTGGTGTGCGGTGAGAGTTGGCCTGGGGAGGGCATCTCCATCCCGGTTCACAGCGGGGAGCCCCTTTTGGGTTCTGTGGGTGGAACTCAGGCAGGCAGGTCTGATTGCAGAGCCATCCTGGGGTCCTGGCTCCGCTGCCTCCCAGCCTGGGAGCCAGGCCTGCCCGTCATGCCGGTGTCATGCCGGGGGCTGATGTTGCTCTGTGGTGGCTTCACAGGGAGTCTTCCCTGGGTTTCTGTCTGCTGAGAGCCTGCTGGCTGGGAGGGAGGGAGGGAGGTTTCTTCTTGGGGTTGCTGTTGGATTCCGGGTAGCACCTTCACCCTGGCCCCACAATGCACTTCAGCTCATCAACCCCGTGCCTGTCAAACCTGCGTCCTTTCCAGATCCTGTGGGAGGACCACGAAAG